TGTTTTTCTCATTTCTGAAACAAATGTGTGCCTTACACTTGATGTGTTTCTTTAGTGTGTTATTTTGTTTGTTTCTGGGAGATCCTCCCTTCTCCCCACTCCCTAAAAGTGTTACTTAGCTCATGGTGAACCTTGCAATCGATGGCATTTCAGCCCCGGGGAAATAAATGGACAGTATAATCAGGGACATCTGGAGATTATTATTATTTTTTTAGCCTCACCCTTACTTCTCCCTCAGTCAATCCTCAGATCCTATGGAGATTATTTTTTTAAAATATTTTATTTGTTTATTTTTAGAGAGGGAAGGGAGGGAGAAGGATAGAGAAACATCAATGTGCAGTTGCAGTTGCTGGGGGCTGTGGCCTGCAACTCAGGCATGTGCCCTGACTGGGAATCGAACCTGCGATGCTTTGGTTCGCAGCCCACGCTCAATCCACTGAGCTACGCCAGCCAGGGGAGATTATTTTTCAACTCACTGAGTGAGTCTAATGGGAAAAATTATAGGTTGTCTATTGATGGGGGGCCTTTGGGGATGTAGGTGTTGTTCAGGTGCCACTGATCATTGGCTTGTCACGGGCCCAGATGTTCCACCCCCAGGACTTGGCTCCTGTGGTCCCAGAGACCAAAGAGAACCGCGGTTATCTGCCACCGTCACAGACCCCACGTGACACAGGGCTGCAGAGGGGCGGGGGTCCCTGCACAGGCGTCTCCTGGCTTCAGCTCCCTTCTGAGCAGGGTGCTGAGAATGAGGACCCTCTGGGCATGGGGACGAGAGGGGAGGGGAAACAGAGTCCCAAAATGGGAGTTAAAGGACCTTTGTGGATGACAGTTCGGGTGGGGGGGGGGGTATTGAGCAGAAAGGGAAAAGGACTCATGGACACGGACAACAGTGTGGTGATTGCTGGGGGGAAGAGGGTATAAGGGGGCTAAATGGCAATGGAAAAAATACAATAAAGCTTAAATTTAAAAATTTAAAATAAAAAAAGAAATTTTACAGGTAGAAATTGCCTGGAACCTTATGGGCCAAATAGATACTTTTGTTCACTTTTCTCTTGCTGCCCATCCTGGAGAGAGGGCACCCGTTCTCACTTCTCAGGGCACAGGTTACGGGAGAGTGGCCACCGCTCCCAGCTCAGGCACTCAGATCTTCCTCTTTCTAAAGGCCTCCATGCAAACCCGGAGGCTCTGCCTCACAGGGTGGGCTTTGTGGAGGAGATGCCCCTGCTTTTCCTGGCAGTGTGAGGCAGTCCCCCGGTGCCCCAGGGGGAGGGCGCTGGCCGGCCCTGCCTGACCTGTCTCTGCCAAGCCACAGCTTTAAAACCGAGTTCACTGAGCCCTCCTTGCCACTCCCCTTCCCCTTCAATTTCAGTCCGGTTTGACTTGAACTGGCCTCAGTGCCTCCATCCCTGTGAGCCGCTGTGTTTTGCTCAGTCGCTCCAACAGTCAGCCGGCCAGGTCTTCGCTGAACACCAGCTCCAAGGGGGGGCATGACGCTCAGCCAGTGGGGGGTGGGGGAGTAGGGGGTGGAGTGTGAAGAAGCAGCTCAAGGCAGCCACTGCCAGTTGCCCTGTGAGTGGTGCAGACAAGGTGTTCTGCAGGAACTCGGAGGGGAAAGGCGTCCTCCAGGGCTAGTGTGCAGGAAAGGCATTTTCAGAAGAGCCCAGAGGTGACCTTTATGGATGGGGATGGGAGCTGGCGAGGCATCAGCAAAGGCCCTGGTGGGAATGAGCGTGGCAGGCCTGGAGATTTCAGGAGACCAACGTGGATGGCCGGGGGGACTCGGCAGGTTAGTGGGGATCAGGAGGATGGAGCCTCGCTCTCAGGCTAGGGTGTGCCTCTCACCTACTCGCTTAGGCCACAGCCACTGGACTCCCGGAAGCCAGAATTCACCAGGCCGAGGGACCCTACTTACCCAGGGTGCTTGTGGGAATTAAGGTTCTAGAGAATTCTTTTCCGGCTCACTGGAGGGCAGTCAGAAACTATTTTTATTTTGTTTTGCACATATTTATTTTTAAGACATTAAAAAATCTCTCAACAACATGCATGTCATCTACAAAGTTGAATAGCACCCACATGAGACATTCAGCGAAACAGCGACCGCCTGCCCCTTGGCCGCCCCGCCACCGTCCTACCCCCTGGAGACGGGCTCTTCCAGCGCTTCCCTGGGCCTGCACTGCCTGACCCAGGGGTTACTAAGTACATCTCTCCACAGGTTCTTCTGCTGCTCTTTGTTGGTTTTCCAGTTTCAACATTGGCTATTTCCTTCTTATTACGGAAGAAATGTCCTTTTCTGTTCTTCAGTTTATTGTGTTTATTATTAATAATAAATACTGTTGACTGATGAACCAAGTAGTGCATAACAGTTATACTTTCTTGCTCAACTTTTTGTCTTCCTGGAGGTTACAATTACCTCATTTTTTGGTGGGGGGAGGGGTTGTCTTGCTTTCTGGGACGTTTCTACAAATTCTTACCGCATTCTCTGTCAAGGTATAAAAGTCCCCCAAAACCATTGTCACATGGGCAAATCTGTGGGCGGTCCTGTCGTTTCCATCTCCCTGACACATCCTCTCGGAGCGCCTGCCCTCCGCTCCCCTCCAGATGCTTGCCGGAGCCCCTGCACTGCTGCGTAGGCAGTTAACCACGCCTCTTTGGGGGGCACCCCCACCCCCAATTTCTCTGTTCCTCTCTCTGCATGTCTCTGAGAAAGGGTGTCCAGAAGGTTGATGTTTTTGAGACCCTGCATGTTTGACCATGGCTTTAATTCTATTCTCACGCTTGACTGATAGTTTGCTGAGCACAGAATTCTAGACTAAAAATCTCTTCCCCCCCAACTCAGGATCTTGAAGGCAGTTGCTCCACTGTTTTCAAGCTTCCGATGTTGCTCTGGAAACACCTCTTGCGGTTCTGCTTTCCGACCCTTCGTGTGGCACCTGTTTGCTTTTTCCCTCCGGAAGGTGCTAGAATCATGTCTTCGCCCCCATCGTTTGGACACTTCGCAGTCAGATGCCTCTGTGTGGGTTTCTTCCCCATCGACTTCCCCAGCTCTCAGGGGCCTCTTCTGTCTAGACACTCAGCCTCGAAATTCTGGGAAATAACTTTTTGGTGAATTTTTTTTCACAGTCGTCTCCCTGGTATCTTCTGTGTTCTTTCTCCCTTACTAGTCAGTGTGGCATTTTCTGGCCAGACCCTTCACTGTTCGTCTCCTTTTTCCCAAGTTCCCATCACCTCGTTCTGCTTCCTGGGAAGTGTCCCCAGTGTTTCTTCTGTTGGATGTCAGACTTCACGCTTGTATTTCTAATTTCCAAGAGCGCTCTCTCTCTCTCTCTCATTTTTCATTGCTCCTTTTAAAAGAACTTCTTGTTATTTCATGGATCCAGCATCTTATTTCTCTGAAGAGTTTAATGAGTGTTTTAAAGTTTATTTTTTTCCCCTGGTTCTTGTATTACCTCAGTTCCCCTGAGTTCATTTTTTTTTCTTTTCTTCTTCCTTTAAAAATATTTGTATATTCTCTCTTTCCACTCGGTAATCCTCCTCAAGAGACTGGCCACCTTGGGCTGCCTGCTCATATTGAAGAATAGGTCACTGAAACCTTCCAAAAGTTGTGTGTATGTATTTTTCAACCAACAGGCTTCATTACAGAGTGGCCAGCTGGGGACCCAGCCACTTTTTGGGGTATTCACAACCAGAAGTATCTGCAGAGCTCTTTCTGGGGCTAGTTCCCAGTCCAGGGTGGGTGTGGAGAGAGGGCGCCTGGGTGACAGTTCTTTCAGAACCAAGTGGCAGAGGGGGGCAGGGGTCTCCAAAGATCCCTTCGAGATGTCCCCCTAACCCCACAGTTTGAGCACAGTGCTGCGCCCCCCCTCCTCCATTGGCGCCCCTCTGGCTCTGGTTCCCCACACGCTGCTGGGGTGAGTGGAGGGGCCCCAGGCAGACGTGCTCCCCGTGCAGACTCACCTCGCCTCCCTGTCCTCGACAACACAGTAGCCACCGCCTCCCACTCCTGACCCTTCCAGCACGTGTGGCAAGATCAGTCGTCCTTCTTGTTGACCGCCCACCCCTTCAGTGGGAGCTTGGTTTCTGGTTTCTCAGCTCTGCTAATTCCTCCATCTGCTTTCCATCTTCCAGACATCTGTTGACATCTGTTGCCTGCTGATGTCACCCCTCCTGTGCTCTCTGTCCCGGTCTGTTTATCGGCTCTCTGTTCCTTGGGTCTCCTTTCAGCGGGGCCTGGGAGGGAGCTGCACCTGCCACGGTTAGCAGGGAGCCTCTGCAAACCTCTCTGAGGGGCCAAGTACTTGTCCCAGCCCTTCCTGGAGACCCCAGGGCCAAGGGCTACGTCTTTGCTTGTCACCAAAGTCAATTTCATTTAGAAAAGTAATGGAGACTTGATTAAATGTTGGCTGCGCCCAACTTGTTCCTAGAAATGGTTGCTTCTAAATAAATTATAATATTATAACACAAATTATTATTAAATTATTATTTATGTGGTCAGTTTTTTTTCTCTCTCTCTTAAAACTGCATGGACGACAACTTCTGGTTGTTTTCTCTCTGGAAATGAGGGTTCCCTAGGGGCAGGGTCCCAGGTAGGTGAGGCTTTGGTGAAGTCCAGAGCTTGGCGAGGCTGGGCTCAGGGTTCTCCGTGTGGCATCTATTAGAAAAGGTCATGAGGTTGCCTGGGAGGAGTCTTGTTCAAGAAAGCCAATCAGCCTCAGGGACCTCAAAACTCCTTTAACAAGGGTGTTTATTTTAAGAAATGATGCTTATCTATTCACTAAAGAAAGCACCCATCTCTCCTCCAACACATAAGGCAGGGGCCTTGGCTTGGCAGCGTTAGAGATGACCATATGGATACAGAAGTGATGAGATTGCTGTGTTCTAATGAAGGTCTTGAGTTTCACCAGCTGCAGGGTGTTCCCCGGGGGCGGGCGATGGCGGGGTCTGTGGGGGAGGGGTGCAGTGCTGGTCTTCAAGGAGTCTTCTTTCTGCCCTTGCTTCTCCAGGTGCCCCCTTTCAAAGGTCTCAGCATCCTCACGCTACCTCCTGCCGCCACTTCCACCTGGGCCCCCCGCAGCCGCAGCAGCTCGCGCCCGACTTCCCCCTGGCCCACCCCGTGCAGTCGCAGCCGGGCCTCAGCGCCCACATGGCCCCGGCCCACCAGCACAGCGGCGCGCTGCACCAGTCGCTGACCCCGCTGCCCACCCTGCAGTTCCAGGACGTCACAGGTCCCTCCTTCCTACCTCAGGCCCTGCACCAGCAATACCTCCTGCAGCAGCAGCTCCTGGAAGCCCAGCACCGCAGGCTGGTCTCGCACCCCAGGTGGGTGTTTATCAGGGCCGGCGGGGCGGGGCCTAGGGCAGGACCGGGGTCACTACGTGGGTCTGCGCAGAGGCAGCTTTTGCTCCAGTTGGGGGAATTCATTCTAAGCAGTGAGCGCTTCCTCGACTCCACACGGGGTCCCTCTGTAGCTAGTGTGTGTCCCCGACACATTGGCCAGGAACAGGGACAGCAGCCGGGTAACTGGTGGTCAATATGCTCACAGTGGTTTTTTGCGGGTTGTGGAATGTTTGACTGAGGACCCTTTAGGTCCCCTTTAGGTTCCCGATCACCTGGCTCTAAAACCCAAGGTCCATAAGGAATACCAAAGGTCATGACAGGTTCAGCCCTGCCTTCAAGAGCCCCTGGTCTGGCTGGAGAGACCAGCTATGACAAATGGAGAATAAAGTTAGACAACACTAATCAAAGGGTCCAAAGGAGCTGGGGTGGGTGGGGGCGGGGTGACCCCTGGCCAATCGCTTCCCCTCAGGAGCCTGAACCGTCAAGAGAAAGAGTTGAACCAGCGGGGCTCCGGCTTCTGGGTTTATGGTTATGACTTGATATTTACTGTTAAAAATTAAAAGAGAAATTTAAGTAAATGCCAATTCATTTAAAAATAACAACAATAAATGCCAATAAAATATTTTTGAAAAATAGCTACATGTTGATGTGGTAAGAAGAGGGACTGCCCCCCCACCCCGAAACATAGTTGCAAATCTCTCTAACGCCTGGCTTAATAGAAGACAGCTGTGTTCTCCTGCCTGCTTCTGTCGCAGAATCACATGTCACAAATGTTCACTTGTGAGAAAATGAACAAGTAAAGAACATCATAGTATTGTTATAAGAAATAGTTTTGAGCTCACAAACCCCGGGAAGGGACTCCCAGGGGTGCTGGGAGCCCGCTTGGAGAGCCTCAGGCCGAGACGGTGTCCAAGGCCATAAGCGTCTGTAACTGTAGGGGCTGGGTGCCCGGGACAGCAGGTGAGAGAGGCCGGTGAGTGTCAGAGGGAAGAGAGGTCACCAGGGCTGCAGTGATCAGGGAGGCCTTCCTGCAGGAGGGGGCTTTGACCTGCGCTGAAAAAGCCGAGAAGAGGGTGAAGGGGAGAAGAGTGTGGTGGGAACAGAAGGTGCGCAGAGGTGGGACAGCCTGGGGGAGGCAGATCCGAGCGAGTGTCTTGAAGATAGGGGAGTGGGCGAAGGAGCAGAGGAGACAGGGGCCTGGGTGCGCAGGCGGTCTGCTGCAGACAGACCCAGGAAGAGGCCTCAGTCCAGTGGGCAGCCAGACAGAGCGGGAATGTCTGAGTGACTGGCTGCTGAGCAGCTGGGAAACCTCCTCAGAGCTTGGGGGGAGGGGGCAGAGCCCGCCGCTCTGGAGGCAGCTGGGGCTGCTCGGAGCCCCTGGGAGCTGGGCAGGCCCCGGGCAGCCCCGACACCGTGGACCTTCCTTCCCTCCCGGTGCAGGCGGAGTCAGGAGCGAGTGTCTGTCCACCCCCACCGACTCCACCCCAGCTTCGACTTTGGCCACCAACTCCAGACACCTCAGCCCAGGTACCTGGCTGAGGGCACTGACTGGTGAGTTTTGGGGGTCTCTGGGAGAGGAAGGGAGGGTGGAGGGCCTTGCCTGATCCGTGGAGTTCCTGTGTTCTCTACCTGAATAATGCGGACGGCCTAGTCTTCAAGCCCCAGCCTTTGCCTCTGTCCCCAGCCCCCTCCAGGGCCAGATGGCCCCCTGCTAGGCCTGGTTCTGGCAGCTCAGATGTGGCTGGGGGCCCATGTGCCCGACTGGGGCTCACCGCTCCTGCTCCTGCACGGGAGGTTGGGGCAGAGATACAAAACATTTTCTCAGCTCAGTGAGGGCTAGGAACCGGTGATTCTTGGGAGGAGGGCAGAGAGAAGAGTCTCAGGAGTCAGGATAGCCAAGGAAAGCTTCCTGGAGAGGGTGAACCTCGAGGAACCCACAGGGAACAGCCAGGGCATGCCAGCAAGGAGACAGCCAGGTTAGAGGCAAGGACTGAGGAGAGAAGGTGGGGAGAGAGGGTGAGGGCGACGAAGGCAGTGGGCCCCTGCAATGTCTCCCTGCAATCCCCTGCCCTTGGGACAGAGGCCTTTGTTGCCCTGGGAGGTCATGTCGCTTGGTTTCGGATCCGTGGTTGCACCAGACTCTCTGACCGCAGCTCAGGTGAGGGCTGATCTAAACTCAGGTGGGATCTTGCCACCCAGACACTTGACAAAGGTGTGCAGTTCCCTGAAGCAGTTAGAGGGAAAGGGCATTCTGCCGGTGACGTATCTTTAAATAGTTCAGAAAAAATCAATGGATGTGTGTGTGTGTGTGTGTGTGTGTGTGTGTGTGTGTGTATGTGTGTGTATGGGGGTCGGAGGGAAGGAGGGAGGGAGAGAGAAGTAGAAATGCAGTAAAATAGCAAAATGTTAATACTTGGGGAATCTGGGTGAAGGCTATCCAGGAATTCTTTGTGCTGTTCTTGCAACTTGGAGGTCAAAAACTTTTATTTTTTTTTAAAGAATGTAGAAACAAACGTACAAAACCCCAGAAGAACCTCTGGGAAGGACGGACTATTAAACAAAACGGATGCGTGGTCGTGTCATTTCTCAGCCACTTAGTCACACAGCCGGGCTCAGTCGAGGGCTCTCTGGGGAGCAGCCCGGGACCGGCCGCCTGGGAGTGACTCACCAGGGCAGTGCCGGTGGAGGGCCGGGCGGGCGCAAGGGCTTCCCGCTGCAGGAAACAGTTGTTTTCACGTGCTCTGCTGTCCCAGCCCCTGCTGGGTCTCCGGGACACGCTGTTAAATGGAACTCTCTCCCTTTAAAGATAGATTGCATGGCACCGACTTCAGCCCAGCCTTTTTCTAATTAGTAGATTCAAATCAGGAAGATTTAATTGCAGTTTGGATTGATTTCTGTCCCTCAGCACCAAGTCAATCCAATTTAATTCAGTCCAGTCCACATGGAGCACCCAGGGCCCTCGCATACGGCTGAGCGGTCTGAACAAACACACAGGGTCCGAGGTGACACGTGGGACTGGACAGGTGATACAGGTGAGGACTGTCCTGGAGAGATGTCCCGAGGAGTGGTGCAGGTGTTGGCCTCGCCCTTGGCCGCTTTCTTTATTTAGCCAAATCTCCTCACCCTTCTCGCTCATTTTAGTCACCCTGCATTCCTGACCCCCGCCTGTCTAACGTGAGGACTGAGGCCCCTGAGGCTGGCCCAGGCCCCAGCAGGGAATGCTGGGCGACCCCTCTCCTGATGCCACCTGAGCCCACCCACTCTGGGGCCCTTCCCTGTTCTGTCCCCAGTTCTCAAGTAGGAAGCCTTTTCCAGAGGAGGAGGTGACAATTTCTCCTTCTTTGTAATTAGCTCTGCTCCAGCGAGGGCCGGCCTCCTGTGACAAGGGGCCTTTTGTAATTGCGATCACGCCAATGGCATCCTGCCCCTCTTTTCCAGGGAGGTCTCTCCTGTCAGCAGAAATGCCGTCTGGACCTGAGAGGGCAGGAAATGGATTACAGGAGGCTGTGGGAGGAGCAGCCGTGGGCCGGCAGGAGGTGGGGAAGGTGTGTTTGCAACACCTTTGCCCCTTTCCCTTAGAGAACCACTGGGAGCCACTGATTTCTGCTCTAAATCATTCCAGGAATTGAGACACCGCAGCTGCCCTTGTCCAGCCCCAGGCCCTTTCCCCAGACAGTTTCTCTCAGCCGGGATGTGTGCTCCCTCTCTGGCCCAGGCCCAATAACCCAACCCTGACCTTGAGCTACCACTCCAGCGTCTCCCTCCTCATCATGCTCCCTCTATGACTTAGTCCTTCCTGGCTTTCCAGCTCCAACTCTCACCCACAGCACAGACGGCACCCTGTTCTACCACCCAACCCTAGCCCTGCCCAGGCGGAGGCCTCCAAGCACCTGGAACCTGGGCAGGAGGGTGGGGGGAGGGCAGGAACCTCCTCCTGTCCTTCCCCTGCAGGCAGCTCTGCCTCAGCAAAGCCTCGTCACTCAAACTTTTGGAGCGAGCACCATGCAAAGAACATAAGGGTCTGCAGAGCCACCAGGCTACTCCACGTGCCAAGGCCATTGACAGCAGAAGACAAAGTTCAGTTCGATGTTTAGATACAACTGATAGAAGCTGTGCTTGGAGACAGTGTCCACGAGAAATCTCTGGGGCACCTTTCTGGGTGACTCGGAGGCCCCAGGCCTCTGGGGTGTTTGTACGACCCCTTTCAGAACGCAGCCAGGTTCCCACAGGCTGACGGCCACAGCAGGAAGGGGGCAGGCACGGCTTCTCCGGGGGCTGATGTCCCCTCAGGCAGGTCCCTGCTCAGGCTCCTTTGGGATCCAGGCAGCACCTCGAGTTCAGGAATCCTGGGTTGAGGAAGGAGTTTTCTGATGAGATAGATGGTAAAAGCGAACCCCGGAGCCCGCCTGGGGCCCAGCCCGGGCGGATCATCCCTCTCCTCGGAAAGCCAAGGTGCCTTTTGCTTCTCCAGTCAGCTTTCTGGGAATGGAGGCAACTCTGCTCCCTGTTCGTGGGGCTTCGCTTTGGTAGGGTTCTCGGAATGTCTCTCTGCGGCTGTGAACCTGCTGGGTTCCCCGAGGCTGCTGGGTAAATGGCAGGGGTGAGCGCCTCAGCCACACGAGGGTGCCCGTGGAATCCTTCTCTGAGGCAGGTCGTGGAAGAGCGCAGGCCAGGCTCAGAAACCCTGGTGGCCCTGACAGGCTAGCCCAGGGCCGTGGGTAAGGCACTGCCCTTTCCAGGCCTTGGGTGGGTCTGAAGAAACTGGGGCTGGACCAGTGAATTTCTAGGTTTGCTTCTAACTGGCTCCAAGAGTTTAACTCATTTCTCAAAGACGTACCCATTAGGAGTTATTCCAGGGATCCGGGCTAATTTATGCACAAAATATAGGCATATGTACATTGTATTATATATTTATCTTGGCTAAAGCAGAAATTTCTTTAATAATAATAATAACAACAACAAATTGTATATGTGTACATATGTTTGAAGAAATCTGGTATTTTTTTTCTGTAGTTCCCCTTGTCCGGATCTTGCTGGCCACATTCTACTGCTGTCATTCACAATGTTGCCCAGTCTCCTGCGTTCTCTGTACATTGGCACATGGATCGAGGCTTGAGCAGATTTAGGCTCGGCCCTTATTTTTTGGCAAAAATACTTAAAGGTGTTGTTTTTTTCCAGCAGGAAGCTGGTTGTCTCTCCTTTTGAGATGTTAGTAGCAATTGATGATCTTTGCCTGCAAGCTCCTTCATTTCTTCAGGGTATTCAAAAAAAAGAAAGAGAGACAGATAATTCAATCATTCCTTACTCATTCATTAGCTAGAAAACTTTCATAAAGAGATATCTCCCGGCCCTGGCTGGTGTAGCTCAGTGGATTGAGATCGGGCTGTGAACCAGGCATCGCAGGTTCAATTCCCAGTCAGGGCACATACCTGGGTTGCAGGCCACGGCCCCCAGCAACCACACATTGATGTCTCTCCCTCTCTCTCTCTCTCCCCCTCTCTTCCCCTCTCTTCCCTCTCTAAAAATAAATAAATAAAATCTTAAAAAAAAGAGAGAGAGAAAAATCTCCCTTCATCAACTACTTGGTTACCCTGCAGTACAGTTAATAGAAGAAAGGCAAGATAAATGCTTGGTTTCCCCTGTTTATTTACTAGTTTGCAAAATGAGTTGGTTCCCTAGCCTCCTTTAAAAGGGACCAACTTTCCGTAGTGTCATTTCACGTTCATGGGCTGGCACCTCTTTGACGTGTTTCGGTCAGTTGCAGTTGTGCTCGTGGATGTGCCGAGCGTCCAGCTCTGGCCGGCTACAGTGCCTGCAGGATGGCTTTGACCTGGCCCTGGTGGTGTTTGATAACTGTCTCGCTTTCAGTTATGACAGCGTGCTGTATTCAGTCTCCTTTTGCACATTCCATGCTCCAGACCCGAAATGAGCCCTTTTCCCAAGGAGCGCTGGCTCCTTTTCAGTTGCATTAATTGATCGATTTTTAAGTGAAGTATATTTTCCTGTACTTTTAGGAGAGGGGTGGGGGTGTGCTCTGGGGTAACTCGTGCTGCCTCACAGGTGTCGAGGTCCCTCTTGTTTCCTCTGAGCGGTCGAAGCGCAGCCTCTGCTGCCCCCTCCACTTTATTTGGTCCTTGTCTTGGCCCGGAATCCCTGACCAGCTCTATTTGGATTTTTCTTTTGGAACTTCTCTCGGGGTGGGGGGGGAAGCTCTGTCTTGGGAGGGTGCTTAGGTGCACTAGTTTCAAGAAGTTGTATGAGGTCTCAACTGTTCCGGCCCCTTCAGACCCTCAAGCACCTTTTCTTCTCTGAGTCTCATTTCTGTTCGTATGAAGAGAGGGGACAGGCAAGCTGATGTCCAGTTCCTTGCAGCTCTGGCAGTTTGTGACTCTGGTTCTCCACCATGGGCTTGATGTCTGAGGTCCCTTCTGTAACCTGATGGCCGAGTCACCCACCTGTGGCTCCTGTGGCCGTGTCCCTGCAGGGATCTCAGTGTGGACGCCGGCTTGAGTCCTGCTCAGTTCCAGGTGCGGCCCATCCCTCAGCACTATCAGCATTACCTAGCGACGCCTCGAATGCACCACTTTCCCAGAAACTCCTCCTCCACGCAGATGGTGAGTGGGGGCCTCTGCCAGGGAGCTGACGCCCTGTTGCCTGCTGGGGCCGTGTGGGCTGGGGCCTGTGACTCGCCTGTGTGCTGTTCCCTGCGTCCTGCTCCCTGTGTCCTCCTCCGGGGTCCTCCTCCATGTGTCCTGACCATTGTATCCTGGGTCCTGCTCCCTGTGGCCCATCTCATAGGACTGGTGTGAAGAACAGAATAGACCCCAGGGGTGACCCTTGGCCTGGCCTGCCCAGCCAGCCTGCTTTCTGCAGGGGACGGGGCCTCTCTCGCTGCAGACATTGAGACTGCGGAAGGATCAGGTTGGGTTTGGGCTGTTGTGAGCTGCGTGGAACAAAGGTAAAGATGTTCCATTAAAGTAGCAAAAGTCCGAAAATCTTATCCCCAGGCAGCTTCTTCATGTGGCTGCCCTGAAGCATGATTCCAGCCTGCTGGCCCTTGCTTCTGCCCTCACCCACTCAGCCCCTCAGCCTCGTTCTGTGGGAAATGAGGGGTGTGGGCGAGTGATCTCGGCAGTCCCGTTGGCTCCGAGGTCCTATGGTTCCTGTTATAAAGCACCATTTCCTAAGAATAAAAGCTAATTTTTATTGAGCACTTACTACATACCAGGCACTGTTCTAAGCGCTTTACACAAATTATTTAATTGAAACCTCCCGATAACCCCTCATGGAAGGCTAATGCCCCTATTTTACAGGCTGGCAAACTGAGGCGTAGAGAGGTTAAGTAACAGGCCAGGGCCACGCAGAGGGTGAGATGAGGCGCTGGGCTGGAGACCTGGCCGGCTCACTCATACCTGGGTCAGGGCAAAGTGAGAGGGGCAGCTCCAGGTAAGGACAGGAGCAGATCTTGTCTTTATTTAAAACATTGGCATTTTGTTCATTACATTTTTTTATATTAATTTTGATTTAAAAAATACTGCATCGAAATACTGTTTGTCTCGGTCACTGAGTCTTTTGGTGCCCCTGAAATGCAGTGCCCTCATGTATACGCCCCCATCCCGCCCCCCTGGTCGGGCCGGGCAGATGGAGGGGAAGGCAACTCACCAGGCCCCCCAGCTGCCTGGGCTTGGAATCGTGGTCCTGCCGCTTGGTTGCATAACTTGGGCCCCTTACTTACTGTCTGTGTCTCACTTGCCCTCTCAGTGAAATGGGGATAGTGATTGCACCAACAGTGTAAATCAGACGAGATCATCAAATCTGTTAGTTATGGGAAGGGCCTAGAACTGTGCCCGGCATGAAACCGATGCCCCACCAGGTTAGGTGTTACTTTGTCGATTTAGGTGTCCTTTCCAGGCCTGGTCCAGCACCAGCTTGGTTCTCGAGGAGGTGCGCGGGAGACCCGGGGCAGGAGAAACGGCGCTTCTGCCCGCGGTTTCTCAGGGCGTGCAGACTGGAGGTTACGGGCAGAGGAGTCGGATGCTGGGCTCGTGGAGCCTTGAATCCTATCAGAGGCATTTTCTCCACTCCAGGTCGTCCATGAAATCCGAAACTACCCTTACCCTCAGCTTCACTTCCTTGCTCTCCAGGGACTGAACCCCAGCAGACACACCTCTGCCGTGCGGGAGAGCTACGAGGTATGCGGGCCCCTCTATCTGGAAGTTGACCCTCCTGCCAGCCTGGCTCCAGCAGGGTTGGTGGAGAAGCCGTTCTCCTGTGTCATTGCCATTCATCGTGTCCTCTCTCCCATTCTCCTGCTGGCGGGTAGGGCATGGGTGTGCAGGAGGAGCCCCGGGATTGGGAGGAAGAGGGAGAAAAAGAGAGAGTAGAGATACTTCGGTCTTTCAGACAAGTTCTTCCGGATGGCTGTGTGAGTGCGTCCTGCCGACATCTTCCAGCACCTCCCCCCTTACCACACGTGTCTGCACGTCTTTGCACACGAGTGCTCACGTCCACATTCTTCTCTTTGCAGGAGCTGCTGCAGCTCGAGGACAGGCTGGGAAATGTGACTCGGGGAGCCGTGCAGAACACCATCGAGAGGTTCACCTTCCCCCACAAGTACAAGAAGGTGAGTCGGCCAGCAGGCCAGCCTGCCTGGTAAGGGTGACAGTGGAGAGTATCTAGCTGACTTTGGCCTGGCAGTCCGCAGAGGGGCACAGTCCCAAATCTAGAAGGCTAGGCATCTCTGGGTAGATGCTCTGAAGCTGCGATACCTCCCAGGGTCTGCTCCCTTGTCTCTGCCAGGAATGACCAGGAGGGGAGACGGGGCCTCCGGTCAGGAAGGGAGGAGGCTGGATACATGTGTGCAGGCGGACTTGTGAGTGGGTGCAGCAGGAGGGTGTGCAGGGAAGCGGGTGCTGGGGGCTGAGTGGGGCCGGCCAGGGGAGCACCTGCACCGCAGGCCGGGACGTGCCTCAGGAAGAATTACAACTCCAGACTCACGTGTGGCCACTTGGGCAGATAAGGTTTCAAAGCCGCATTTTCAATTCTCATTGAGCATCAGGATCACCAGCAGAGCTCTTAAAGCCACAGATGCACAGGCTGTACCCCAAGCCTACAGAGGTGGACTCTCCAGAGTTATTGCCAGAAATCTGAGATAGGATTAGAAGCCAGGAATCTGAGTTAAAAGATTTTTTAAATTAAATTTAAAAAAAACATTGGAAGCAACTATGATGTCCCTCAATAAATAAGTGGATAAACAACCTGCAGTGTATCCATACAATGGAATATTATTCCCTGATAAAGAGAAATGAGCTATTAAGCCATGAAAAGACATAAAGGAAGCTGAAATGCATATTGCTAAGTGGGAGAAGCCAGCCTGAAAAGGCTGAATACTGTATGATTCCAGCTGTATACTATTTGGAAAAGGAAACCAGAAACAATAAAAAAGATCATGTATTAAAAAAAAAGATCACGTATTGCCAGGGGCTGGAGGGGAAGGAGGGAGGAATGAATAGGTGACTCACGGGGGATTTTTAGGGCTGGGAAACTATTTTGTGTCATACTGTAACTGCAGACACAGGACCATATACATTTGCCAAAATCCATGGGACTGTTTAACACACGGTAAACCCTGATGGAGACTAAGAGGCCTCACTTAATAATACTGAATCACTACGGGTTTGACAGTTGTAACGAATCAGTCATGCTAATGAGAGTTGTTAATAATAGGGCAAAAAAATAAAGTCTGGGATGAAAACAAACAAATATATCAATTTTTAAAATTGAAGAGTTAAAAGCTTGACAAGCTCTGAGAAACTGAGGGCAGGCACACGCTCCTTGCGGTGGAGCCGAGCCCTCTGCGCGCGGCCCCGGGACTCAGAGTCCCCGCCGAGCAGGGCGTGTAGGAAGCAGACACTGCCACGCTGTCTCACTCGGCTTGGGCAGCTATAGCAAAACACCATGAACTGGGGAACGCTTGAGCCGAGATCAAGCACGGGCAGATGTGGTTTTGGGGAGGGCTCTCTTCCTGGCTTGCAGATGGCCACCTCCTTGCCTTGTCTTCGCCTGTGGAGAGAGGCAGCTCTGATGCCTTTTTCTCCTCTTCCGGGGGCACTGATCCCATCATGGGGCTTCACTCTAGTGACCTGATCTACAGCTAATCACCTCCCAAAGGTTCCATCTCCTAATATCATCACACTGGGGGTCAGGGCTCCAACATCTAAACTTGTGGGGAACCCAGACATCCAGTCAGTAACCATTACTAGTAGCTGTGACAATGGCCAAGTAGCCATTATTACTTGCCTTTCCTGGCCCTCCCCTGCCCTTCTGAATGTAAAATGGGGGTGATATTTTAGTAGCTACCACAGGGGTGCTCTGAGGATTCAGGGGGACGAGGCACACGCACAGCTCAGCACGGTGCCAGGCAAGTGTGCTCAGCAATGGTGAACAGCTCTCCCCTGGATGTGGGGCTCATTTGCCCTCGACCCACTAAATCCCATGGGTCAACATTAAAAACCATGAATCTCGGTCCGTGCCCCTCCTCCTAGAAGCACTAGATGTGTCCATAAGTGATTTCAACCAATGTTTGAGGATCTACTATGTGACAGACATGGACAGTGTGCTAAAAAACGAGATGACAGTATTTCGGTAACGAAGGAGCTCATCTGCAGGGAAAAATGATCATTTTCTGGGCAGAGGGCTTCAGGTTGTTGGAGAACATGGATGGGAAGGAGGGGTGTCCAGGAGCCTGGAGCAGCGTCTGCTCCCCTGCCCAGGGAGCTTTCTCCTGCCGGGGCCACACGTTCTGCCGGACGTCATTGGCTGAGGCCGCAGGGACATGAGGAAAAGAACAAATACAAAGGATGAAAAGGGAAAATGGACTGAATCAATGAGATAAAGAATTGAGTTAAAAATTGATGAGAATAGCCCTGGCCAGGTGACTCAGTTGGTTGGAGTGTCGTCCCCTATACCAAAAGGTTGCGGGTTTGACTCATACCTAGGGTCAAGTGTGAGTCAGGGCACGTACCTAGGGTTGCCAGTTCAGTCCCCAGCCAGGGCATGTGCAGAAGGCAGCTGATGGATGTTTCTTTCCCCCATCTCTCTCTCTCTCTCTCTTTCTCTCTCTTTCTCCCTCTCTTTCTCTGTCTCTCAATCTCTCCCCTCCCCCTTTCCTATCTCTATAAAATCAATAAACATATCCTTGGGAGAGGATTAAAAAATTATGAGAATAAAGGGAAAATTAGGGGAATAAAGTATTATTAAAAAGCAATAAGAATAATTAAAAATGAGATAAAATTTAGGACCCACATAAAATGTAAAAAAAAACTTTAAAAATTCAAACTAAGAGTAAAATAATATGACAAAAAGGATATTTTAAAATAGTAATGATATAAGAATAAAAATACAGAAAAATATATGTGATCAAAGAAAAATATAAAAAGAATATGAATTAGGAAAAGACATGAAAACAACATAAAACTGAAATCAGTAGCATCAAAGTGAAAAGGAACGTTAATGTGAATATGAGAGTAAGGGCAAAGGGATAAAATAAATACTAAATTCTGAAAAAAGTTAAAGTTAAAATAAAAGTTACATAGATTAAAAAAAGACAAAAACCAGAAAACCTAAAAGATTAAAACTACAAAATAAGAAACAGAGTAAGCTTTGAAAAGAGAGAATGGTTTAGAGAAATATAGATTAGATGTGGTAAAATAAGGTATGACTATTAAGTTAAAATTATTCATTATAAAAAGGAAATCATAAATAATGGTGAAAAAATAGAAAATAAGCAAGTAGTTGGTTGAGTTTTAATGGTTATCTTCTACTGAACTTCCCTCTCATCGCAGGGCTAATTAAGCAAGGCCACTCCCCCAGCAAACACAGCTGGGCTCTTAGGCAGGCAGATGGATCATATGACGCCGTTCACACTCACAAGCCATGACAAGTATAGGGGACTGGGAACGTGACTCTGATTTTCTGGATTCTGGATAAGGGGAAGTCACTGCAGTCACCTGGTGTGGTTTGCAGTGGCGTGTAGGGGCACAGAGAGGCTTAGAGCAGAAGGCATGGGTATTATTGTATGTTCTGACTAAGAAGCTCCAGAGCTTAGGACCAGGGGCCAGAGTGGGGAGACATGGCACCTAGGCCTGGCCCCAAGGTCATAGTCATTCTCTGGGTGGTCTTCGTGTTGGGACTCTCCAGGTTTTGCTCTTGGTAAAATGAGCTTTAAGTCTGCTTATCCCTGGAGAGGGGACAGAAGGGCTAATTTTCTTCCCATGGGTATTATCGGACTGTTTCGTGGCACAGCATGGAGATGGGCACATGAAAGGTAGGCCTGTTTCCCTCACTGATTACATCGCTTCCTCCCCAGGATATTTATTAAGCACCAGTGATGTACTTGTGCTTGGCCAAGGGTGGAGTGATACCTGAAGAAGAGTGAGCCACGGTCCGTGCCATCTGAGAACCTGAAACTTCCCACATAGTGGTTAACTATTTTCTAGTAATTATCATAGCATTTAAAACAGGACAATTAAAGTCAATTAAAGTATAAACGGAGTGCCTGCAAGATGACTAATATTATGTTGGGACCACTGCCCATCTTAAAGGAACTTCTTGGATAGGAAGAGAAATCAAACAATATAAAATCCAATGTACAAATTACAGATGTTCATGCCAGGTTGAGGATTTTTGCCTTTATCTAGTAATGCATTAAAAAAATGAATAGACATTAATAGTAGTGGAAGGAAGGAAGGAAGGAAGGAAGGAAGGAAGGAAAGAAGGAAGGAAGGAAGAAAGGAAAGAAGGAAGGAAGGAAGGAAGGAAGGAAGGAAGGAAGGAAGGAAAGGAAAAATGGATGCATGGATGAATGAAGGATACTGGACCTGAAAGTGGAGGAGGAGCCAGGAGGTAGGGTCTAGGTTGGAAGAGTGTGAGGGGTACGCAGAACAAAGCGAACAGAAAAGGCGAAGCTGTTTATGCACAGCCATCATTTTGCAAAGGATTGATTCATTGCCACCCAGTTCCTTTCAACGCTCTGTGCCCCTAGGACTGTATGCAGTTTATGCTGGGGGCATGAGTTACCTGGAACAACAATAATGAAGTTCACTTGGCTTTAACCCTTTGTGTTCTGCAGCAAGGAGGAGAGATTGGGGAGGAGGCAGGAAGAAGGGTCTGGGGGGAGCATAGAAGCCCGGGTGTTAGTTGGGAACTTAGAAGAGACTTCCTCACTTTTGGGGGGGGGTAGAGGCGGCAAGGGAGGGAAAGGCTGTGGGTGAAACACAGTGACCACCAGGTGAGTCTGCTTCAGGTAACGAATGCTCCTCCTTTGCCTCTCATAGAGAAGACCCCAGGATGGCAAGGGAAAGAAGGAGGAGGGGGAGGAGTCAGACACGGATGAGAAATGCACAATTTGTCTGTCTATGCTGGAAGACGGAGAAGATGTGAGGTAGGAGGCCGGCCTCTTGGATTCCCTCTCCCTTCCCTCGTGGGTATTGGTGACCACGTGGGTTTGCGTGTGCGTGTGTGAGTGTGTGCACTGGTGTGTGCCAAGTGTGTCATAGTGTGCTTCCTGGTTGTTCTAGGAACGTGGGGTGTGGAACATTCTAGATGTGGGTGCCTATGGGTGTGGACTCACAGAAACTAAGTTTAAGAGAACAGCCTGCTGTTTGGCCTGGCTTTGTTTCAGGCTGAACTGAAAGGGCCTCACGGAGAAGGAGGACTTTGGAGCCCTCCTTCCTGTCATGACTTCCCAGCCCGGCCACAGACTCACTTCATGGCAGAGCGCCCCCAGCAGTCCTGGGTGTGAGTCTTCCGGTCCCTTGAGCAGCCAGCACCCCTCGGCTCCTGGCACAGCCCCGGGCCCCTTCCCCTCAGCCTCTCCTCTGACTCTCCCCCTCTCTTCCAGGCGCCTACCGTGTATGCATCTCTTTCACCAACTCTGTGTGGACCAGTGGCTTGCCATGAGCAAGAAATGCCCCATCTGCCGGGTGGACATTGAGACACAACTGGGAGCTGACAGCTGAGGGAGGAATTAGCCAGTGGACGCCCCATTTTCCTTCACCAGGTCCCCCCACGGCCATAGCCCTTGCAGCCAAACTTTGCCTTCTGAGCCATTTGACGTAGAGGAAAAGCCTGCAAGCACATTCTGTGGAAAGAGGAGTTGGTGGTATCAGTGTCCGAGGGAAAGGAGGGGTCGGGGAGGACCCACCCGTCCGGAGTGGTGACTGTCCCCATCTGCCTCGCTGTGCGGGAGGGAGGGAGCTGGCCGTGCCGGAGCAGGGGTGGGAAGGGGGGGCCCACGCTGCTGAGAATCCAGACGTGACCCCGAAGGTCCTAGCTCATAGACCGGCCCCTCAATCCTGTCCTTGGAAGGATTGTGTATATACCTCTCGACCACGTAGAAACCATGTAGGGGTCTCTAGCTATTTCTGTGGATGGCAGCCGGAGCATGTTAGCTTAAGAAAAATGTTGTGTGTGGTGCTCTAGTCATCTTGTGGTGGTCATGTCGCTATTACCGAATTCGCACCAAATATTTCTCATTGAGTTTCTTGTTTTGGTGCCTGACTGAACCAACCGACAGCCCAAATCTTCCCGTCTTTATGAGAGAAAAGGGAAAAGGAATCAAACGTGAAAGGGAAAAAAAAAAGCCAAATCCTGTTTACGATGAAGAAAGGATGATATTTATCACCCAGGTTGGGAGGCGGGTGGGGAGGGGTCCTTGTTTCGTTTTCTGTTTTGGTTTTTCCCTTTGCTTTCATTTTTCTCATGTTTACAATGCACGGAGTGTGGGAGGGCGCATCTGGGAGACGCGAGGACTGGAGAAGGAGCAGGAGGGGTCTTAGAGGGGCCTCGAGGGGCCCAGCCAGGCTTGGGAAGGTGGAGTTCGAGTAGGTGAGGGGAGAATTCTGTCTCGAAGGAGGGGTTGCTCGTTCCAGGGCCCGTTCACTTAGCTCCAGCCATCCCCTCCGTTCCGCATGGAACCAAGGAGGGGCCAACCTTCAACTAAAGTTGCCACCAGGTTCCTTAGAGCCAGGATGCGCCTGCTCATGCCAACTCCTTCTTCTGGCCTGTGCTGATGCGCTGTCACAAAGAGGCGATTTGGCTACGGCCTCCCTATGCAAAAAATGAACCAGATGATAAGGATACGTAGCATAGGTGATGGATACTTGGTCTCGGCCAAAGTGCTCTCAGCTAGCACCCGCAGGCTGAGGTCAAATACCATGGGCCTTGAGGAAGACCCTGAGATTCCTCTGGAATGGTTCGAATCCTGATGGAGTCCCTTGGAGAAGGCCCCGGCCCTGGGACCCTGCTGGCTGGGTTTGGGAGGCACCGTGTCCCTGGCCTCTGGCCCTTTCTCTGACTCTTTGATAACCTTGGGCAAGTCCCTTTCATTCTCTGTGCCTCAGTTTCCCTCTCCTTAGAGTGAGGAGAAATGACAGTGCATCCCCATTTCCGCTTCCTCTACCTCACCTAGATTTTGTGAGGATTAATACTACCTGCCCGAGACGTTCACGCTCTCTCCTGGGAGCCTCCTTGGGTTAGGGGTCGGGGTGGCAGGAGAGACAGACCTGGGAGTCCCCGGTGACAGCACACAGTGTGTCTTTCTCCACCTCCCCACAGTTTCCCCGAACCTCAAGGGGGCCCAAGAGATGAGAGGACAGAGGAGTGGAGATGGGAAAATATGCCACATTCCACCAAGTCACCAGTCCCAACCTGACTTCCTTGATCTGTCGGTGGAAAACACCAGCTCAGCTGGAATCCTGCTCTCTTCCTTCACCCCCCCATCCTCCTCTCCCGCACTTGCACTGCCCCCAACGCCTCCCCCCGCCCCAGTCATATGTTGATAACAGAAGACTAGGGGGGACAGAATATTTATCACATATGTGAAGAAATTCCATAAGATTGAGGAAACTGGAGTGTGCATTGCTGCTACAAAGGGTAAAACCATGACCAATGGGTAAAAATGACTGGGAGGCAGATTTTGGCTTGAGGTAGAACCTTCTAGCACAACTAAGCTATCAGGTAGCTGCTCTGGACACCTACAAGTGGAGTGTGGAGATGGCTTCTGGAGGGAGGGTCACTCAAGGATCTTACTCAGACGAAGGTGACCCTTACCGGGTGCCTGCCAGGGCGGGTGCGGGGGCAGACGATGGTGAAGAAGACTGTCCCGCCTGGAGGAGCACACAGCATAGCTGAGGAGTGAAGACACAAAGGACAATGCAAAAATGGTGACCAGTCTACTTAATGGCAATGAGCATGACACTGTCCCCTTCAGTGATGCCAACAGTGTCTCTAGGGCTAAAGGCTGGAGACCCCACCAGTGTGAAAAGTATTTACTTCTGAGTCAGGATTTTGGGGAAAGCTGGTGACTAGTTACCCCGGGAAGGTGGGAATCCTCCCTGTCCTGCTTTGACCCCCAGGTAGCCAGGGCGGTCCAGGGAAGGTCACTCCTGTCTTAGTCATGGCCTCTTGCTCCTCTGTCTAAGGCTGGTTTGGAAGACTAGCAGGTAGAGGGAGTCAGTGGGGAGGCCAGATGGGGCAAGAGCTGGCGTCCTGCGTCCCGGCCTTGGCTCTTCACCGAGAGAGTGGATAGTGCTAGAGCCCTGACTTCTTCTCGCTGGGACTCAGTTTCTCAGTTGCACCACGAGGAGGTTGGACTGCATGCTTGCTAAATTTTCTTCCCACGCTCACATTCTTTGATCCACCCTCACATCAATACATCGTTCAAGTCATCAGAGCTGTGCGCCAGCCGAGCTGTTGACATGACGTGCTCTGGGCTCCAACGTCTGTTTTCAGGCTGGGAATGGGGTGTGGTCTCCTCCTCCTAGCCCCCCCCCCCCCGCCCACCGCCCAAATTATCTGCAGGCTCCCTGAGCACCCCAGCCTAACCTGAGGCACTGCCTGAATGGGGCGGGGACCACCTGGAGGAAAGAGGTCAGCTGCTGGCTTTGGGGGTAGATTCTAAAGCCCCCATCCTCTCCCCATCTCTTTGGGGCCCTCTTCCCCTGCAGGTGGGCACAGGAGATGATGTGGATGTAGGCACCTCCCTGCTCCTTTAGCGGGGCAGCTGTCTGGGTGAGACCAGAGGACAGGGGGTCTGTGCGTCTGCTCCCTCGAGGCCCCTCCCCCATTGTCCGGTGCCAGAGAAGAGGCGGGCTCAGGCCTCAGCATCTCACACCCACCACCTCCAGGAGGGGAAAACCCCAGTGCTCCCCCTTCTGCTCAACACCAGGGACTCAGACCCTTTCTTGACTGAGACGCATGAGTGCCTTCTGGGGCGAGAGCTGCCCCAGGATCAAGTTGGGCCTCCCAGCCACAGCGCAGTCCTGGCCACAGTGGACCTCGGGGTCCACCGAGGACGCCGATCGCTGAAGCCAATGCCACAAGCCCGGCCTGCTCAGGCGGAGGGCAGGGGGCACGGGGCTCCTCCACGCCCCCGGGACCCTCTCTACGCCCTGTTGCCCTTGCCCACCACCTGTGGCAAGGCTCCAGCTCCTCTTCTGCAAATGTTCCCGGCCTCCGTGCAAGTATTCTTAACTCTTTACGCCTAATGAACAAGCACAGTTTTTTCAATGGTGAAAAAAAAGCACCAGATTTTTCTTTTTTTCTGAAGAAATCCCCCAAGCCCCCCCGCCAGCCGGCGGGACACACACTCCCCGCGTGGGGCTGTAGCAACGTCGTCTGTCAGGTCCCCCCCTCGTGTTTCATCTCCTGCGCGCGTAGAGCAAATGCTAGAGCGATTTCAGCTGATAGAAAAACAAAAATGAAAAAAAAAATCCACAAAAAACAAAAAACATGGCACGTTGCTAGTTTACAGGGTTTTGTGAGTTTAAATGCCTTATATTTAACAATCATAATTTATGACTAACTTGTAGATATTGTGGGTTCTTATTTAATTATTTTTATAGTTGTTTTGCATTTTTAATTATAATTTATTTATTTAGAAAGGATACTAATTTTTTTTATTACTCCTATTACCTCATTTTGGCGTTGTTTCTGGGAGTGGAATGCTTTGCATGCATTGGTACGATGACAAACAACTACGAATACAAAAAAAAAACATTTAAATAAAATTCCGCGAACTTTATTTCGTCCAAACTATCAGGGTGTGTGATTGCAAGCTGTCCTCCTGTGGTGCTGGCCTCTTTGGATACATTCCATACGAAATGCAAACCTTTGATTCTGTATGCTGTGATCTAGTGAAAAACTCCAATATAGTGACTGTATTTAGCACATATATGAATATGATTTGCACTCGTCAGCAGACTGGGGTAATCCTTTCACTTGCTACCCTTCCCCCCTCACCCCTCATTAACCTGTCTTTCCTTCTTCCCTCACCCTTCCCACAACCTCAGCCTGCTCTGTCCCCGCCCTCCGAGGAAAGTCTGGGGGCACTGGAGGTCGCTCTCGTCACCTGGGCTCCAACTCTCTCTGGTTGCAGAATGCTCCCTTCGGACATGACCAGCAGGAGCATCTAAAAGCCAAAAAAGCCTGATTTATTAGAATCAGAGGTCAGGAGGCTCAGGTTTGCAGACCAGCTCTATTGCAAACTTCCCTGTGACCCTGAGCAAGTCACGTGGCCTCCTTGTGTCCCAGTTCTCTGGGCTGGGGGAGGGAGGTGAGCTGGAGGATCCTCAGGGTCCCTCAGACTCAGAGAGACTATGATGCAGGTCTGGTGGGAGACCACCCTGCTGTGCTATCTCACCCTCTCCGGAGAGAAGAAAGGAAGGAAGAAAGGAGAGGTAGTGACAAGGAGAGGAAGAGAGTGGACTGAGAATTTACCCAGTGGGTTTGCTCAAAGGAGACGTCAGAGGATTTCTGTCCTTTTATAGGCAGCATCCTGGCTGGGGGTGGGGGTGGGGGGCCCAGGGAGACAGGACAGGTGAATTCACCCTTTCACACGGACATGTCCTTTCACAAGGTTTGATGGGGACTTGGGGAGTGAGCTCAAGTCCATGTCTTGCTAGATATGGGGGTGGATTAGACCCCAGACCATGGTGTTCAGCATTAGCGCCCCATCCTGCGGTCTCCTGGAGCCTGTGTTGTTGAGGCACCACCCGTGACAGCAGATTGGAACACATATGCTAGACTCCTGGTTTCTCCTTCGCTCTCTGCCATTGCTCGAAGAGGCTGTGGGCAGGGGGCGCTGCTGTGTAGGACAGGGGTGTGGGCTCCCCGTTCACTGCCCCGAGGAAGGGTGTGAGGGACCCATTTAGGGAAGTAGTGGCTTCAAAGCCTCGCGCAGCTGTGAGCGCAGATGCCTTTGAGCTAACAGGAGAGAGGGGGGTCCACGCCCTCGGCAGAAGCCTCTGAGTGGGCTCGGACCCTGGCTGGGTGAGGGAGGATCACTCCCATGCTCTCTGCATGTCTGCCCTTTCCCCCTTTCCTCCTTACCTTCCTTTCCAGCCCGTCTTTTCCTGTTGCCTCTTGACACCACTGCCTTCGCCTGGTGGAGAAGTCCACCCTCCGCATGGGGCCCCCCGGGATGGTGCTGATGGGGGAGGACGTGGACGTGCAATTCGCCACACTGCCTGGCCAGGCTTGTAGAAGTGGCTGGGCTGGGCATGGTCCCTGAGCCCCAGCTCTGCTCCGGCCGGACTATGGGTCCTGTTCCCTGGGCTTCCTGCCTGCTACCTGCCTGGCTTCCCTTTCTGCCTCCGCCCTGGAGCCTTGTTCTCCTGCTTTCCTTGGAGGTGGCCCGTGGAGTTGCCCACCAGGCCACC